GGGGGGTTAAGGTATTGATCAATCTAACATATCACCAGTCGGACAATCCTATTTGGTCACTTTTTTCTTTATTTCTCAATCTCAACGCAACAACTGTCTGCTCTGGTTTAGTCCCCTCGACCATTTCTGATATTTTCCATCTAATTGGCCCGTTATGGTCCTACCAATCTCTGCACATGCATGGGTTTGATCAGCATACAACAGCGTAGTACTACATTTACTGTATTTTAAAATGTTATCCGTATGAACAAACCACTACAGTTTGTATTTGATGAAACAATAGCATTAAAATACAATTACCTTTAAAAATAGTCTTGCAAATTACAATCATAACTTTATCGATAAAAATGACTTTTAATCAAATAGTTATAAACACAATTAAAACAATATATTTCATTACTAAACGGACCAGCTGCTACCGGTTTTACTGGTAAAAGGTCACAATAGTTGAAAACAAAAGCAATCATAATGACTGTTATGCAAAATGCAAAATATAATCGACCGTTATTTATCAGCGTAGCCTGTGTTACAATATCATGCTATCAGAGGCTGTTTGGGGCCCCTACCTGGAAACTTAACGTAAAGCCAATAATTGCGATACATTTCAGGGCCCCCTTGGAAATCAGTTGTTTATCAACTGAAGGGGCGACCCTCAAGATTAATAAATAAATGAAAAAATAAACATGCCAAAAAGACTGGATTCTCTAAGACTGGATTCTTTATGACATGAAAATGTAGCCTAAGAAAGAGCTCAAGGCTTTCCTTCTGCGTAAATACCAGCCATTCCAGTCCCAAACACTCTCATTTTAACAGGCATTACTTAGTTTTACAATAATGAGTCTTGTTAGCACATATAAATGAATCAACAGATGTTCCCAATTCCCTTTCCTTAGAGATGTTAAGCTTCTAGTCTAGAGACCTGGTCAGTAGAAGAGATGCTAAGAGCGTGATACAGTCAGGATAGTCAATCATATATTTTGTGAAGTACTTTGCTCTTCTACATCTTGAACTTAGATTGTTAAAACTTTACATAGAATGGAAAAAATTGATCCCAAATCAATATCTTTGATGAAAAAAAAAGATCTCTTAAATAGTCCTAATATCAAAGCGTTAAAACGTGTATTTCATTATGGTGTTTCTACATTTTCGTACAGAGGATTTAACTGTGGGGCACTATGTCATAATGCATATTTACAGCATCCAAGTCATTTGTGATGGCCTGAGACTGACCCTGCCCTGTCTGATCATCTTGCTATTGGTTTTCGTACAAAGAATTTAGATGTGATGCAGTTGGCCCTGTGCCATAAGATATGTTTCCTGCATCCAATGATTGAGTGATAGCTTCAGGCTGACCCTGACCTGTCTGATCATGTTGGTTTTCGTACAACGAATTTAGATGTGATGCAGTTGGCCCTGTGCCATCAGATACGTTTTCTGCATCCAAGGGTTTAGTGATAGCTTCAGGCTGACCCTGCCCTGTTTGATCACGATGGGTATCTATAGGGTACTGATCATGGCTACTTGTCACTACAGCAGTTGTGGTACGTGTGTTGAATTCAGAGATGGCCTGAGACTGACCCTGCTCTGTCGGAATATGGTCACTTGTTACTACAGCAGTAGTGGTGCTTGTGTTGAATTCAGAGATGGCTTGAGACTGATCCTGCCCTGTCTGATTATGGTCACTGATCACTACAGCAGTTGTAGTGTTTGTGTTGGATTCAGTGATGACCTGATACTGGCCCTGCCCTGTCTGATTGTGACCATTGGTAGATGTTAAACCTTCTACATACATAGTGTCGGACTCAGTTTGAACTTCATCACGCGATAAATTACCCACTTTTAGAGATTGATTGTTACCCTGAGACTGGCCCCGTCCTGTCCGACTATGACCACTGTCTATTACAGTATTTGTGTTGATACCAACAATGTTCGGATTCTGCCCTAAAGGAGGATGCTTGGTCCTTCTTTTGTACCAAGCTGTAAGAATGATGGTGACAATCAGGATAGTGCCAGGCACTACACCAAACATTGAACCAATGAGAGCAAGTCGGGACCGGCTGAGAGGAGAAGATTCATTGGAACTACTGTTTTCTGCTTTGTCGACTGCAGGGATTGAAGTTGATATAACTGTTTTGCTTCGTTTGCATGCACTAGGTGCTGCTAAGCCAGTTCTGCTTGTGAAGTACCAATAATATTGAGAAGTGGTGGTAATGTTGAAAATGTTGTTGGCCTTTTTACGGTTATGATTAGAATTTTCAGATTGTGTAACAAGGAGCTGTGTTGAAGATGTTGACACTGCAGATGACGTGAACGGGGTTTGGGATATCAGCAATCATTGTTGACATGTTTGGCTCCTTGCACAATATTATCATTTCTGCAAGATTGATATACCTAAGCTTCTTTCCTTTGAAATTGTGAGGGCTCGGTACATATTACCTTGTCTTTGAATGACGGAAAGTCAGTTGTTTTTAGCCTTAAGGGGGACCATCTTACAGTCACATTTCCAGGGGTTCCCGTTAAGTTTTATGTTAGTAATAGATGGCAACAAGCCATAAGCTAAAGGGGAAATGGTATGCAGCTTGTTATCCCGAAGATCTAAATTTCGTAGCCTTGGTGTACTCGCAAATGCACCTGGCTGAATTGTGCTAATCTGGTTTCCCTTCAAACTCAGTGTTTTGAGTCGGGGTAAGTTTACAAATGCACCCGCATGAATCTCTGTTATCTTGTTGTGGTACAGGACCAACTTTATGTGTGCTTTATGTGCTTTATTAAACTCCATTAGCGACACACAAGACATACAAAATCAAGTATGTAGCTAATCTTCCTGGAGTTAAAATACAATAATACAAATACACCACATCAAAATTACAACATTATTTACATACAACATTAGACTTAACATTTAAAAGTAACATCACATGTGCCTATCATCATGTGCCTATGTACGCATGTGCTCTAACAACTCCTGCCTAAACCTACTCTTAGTTGCTGCTTGTACCTCATGTGGCAAAGTGTTCCAAACTGTTAAGGATCTATAAATGAAAGTCTTCTTCAGGGCGTTCGTTTTGGGTTTCTATTAAACAGTATGTGTTTCGGCTAGCATGACGTGTGTTGTGGCTGTGGTGGTAGGAGACAGGACATAACTGTTTTGTAGAGTACTTCTGGTTGATGTGTAGCAATGACCCTCTGTAGCTGAGAGACAGTGTTTACAAGAATCCTTTCCTTGATAGTCTGCCATGACAGAGACGCATGGAGCTGTTGTACTGGGGTTTTTGAAGTTCACAGTGTAGAACCAGACGAGCTGCTTTGTTTTGCATGACTTGTAGTTGTTGAACATTCTTCAGTGAAGTGGAGGACCAAACTGGTGAGCAGTAGTCAACGTGTGAGAGTGTGAGGCATTCTACTAGCAGCTTAAGTAATGAAGAGTCCAGGTAGGTGGCACATTTCCTTATCATTCCCAATGCACAGGCCATCTTCTTCGCAGTCACTTTTGTATGATTGTCCCAAGTGAGGCACTCATCAAGAGTACTGCCTAGGAGTTTTGTTTCCTTTACTTGCTGGATGACTTGGCCATTAGAATATAAGGTGAGTACTGGGTTCTTTTTTATTTTTGGTTTACTCCCAACTACCATTGATTTTGTTTTGCCTGCATTGAGAAACAACCTGTTCATTAAGACCCAGTCACTTATGTGTTGTAGCTCTTTCTGCAAGGTGGAGTTGATTGTAGAGATTGACGGTGCACATGTGTAAGCAGAAGTATCATCTGCATACATAACTGAGGCAGCCTCCTTTGTGGCTAGAGGAAGATCATTTGTGAATATACTGAAAAGAAGGGGTCCCAGACAGCTCCACTTTTCGAGCTTGGGTAGATTTGTAAATGTACCTGCCATAATTTTTGTTATCCTTGTATTATCCAACCACAACTCTTTAATTTGCGGTAGATTGGCAAATGCACCAGCTTCAACCATTGTTATCGGGTTTCCAATCAGATATAACTCTGCTAGCCGTATTAGATTGGCAAATGTACCATATCGAAGTATAGTTAGCTGGTTGTTGTTCAACACCAACTTACGGAGCTGGATAAGGTTTTTAAATCTATCTCTCTGAATATTTGTTATCTGGTTGGAATGCAGCGACAACGTCAAAAGGTTGGCTTGATTTTCAAATGTACTTGGGTGTAAGCTAGTTATTTTGTTGACATATAAGTCTATTGTGCGTAACTGGAGTAGATTTTTAAATGTCCCAGGATGGATATTAGTTATTTGGTTTTTACTTAAGTACAACTCTTGAAGATTAGGTAGATTAGGGAAGCAATCAACAGTGCTAATAAGATTTGACCCCAAATGCAACTTAACCAAATCCCTGTACCGTAACAGTTCGGACTGATGTACAGCTGCAATACGATTCCTCTCCAAATAAAATTCAGTGATAGATGTTGGTTGGTTCTGAGGGATACTGGTGATTAGTTTGTCTGAGCAGTGACAGGGTACTGATGGTTGACAGCTGCACTCACGCCAGCTCTGGCCAGCTGCTGACGTGTTGAGCTCCTCCAGGATGATGAGAAGGTAACCAGTAGGTGTCGCAGCTTCTTCTCATAGTCATGGTGACACCTAAAGAACAGGAACCACCTCGTAAAATAACTCCGACTTTATATCTTGGATACGAATAAAGAAAGATTCGGCCACCAAATGGTACCGAACTTTTCTCATTCAATTTCAATAGTTGTTTGCACTCGCCCTATTATATCCAGAACCATATTATCTTTTTTCTTGCCTAAATCTTATATTGTTTTGGGGATAGGATAAGGCGCAGTTGTAGATAGTGAAACTAAGGACGTAAATTTGCCTCTGGTACAGTTTTGGTTATTCTCTACGTATCCAGCATCGCATTGCCAAAAACCTATCTAGAAACGTACCCAAGAATAGCTCTAAATTTAGCTCGGTTCTGGATACAAAACCCCCCCTTCTAATGCTATCGAACCATAAGAACATCTAGTTTTCTAGGTATTGATTCATGTCCAGAGTCTATAAGATCTTTTGGTGCCTGCAAGGCAGTTTTTAACAGACAAAGAATCCCAAAAGTAGAAAAAAAAAGACTAAAAGCCTATTCAAATGCCTTTAAACACTTAAACATAATTAGAAACCGGCATCTTTGATTGAAGAGTGTCTTGGACTGGCACAAAAAATTGGCAACAAAAAATACGGGTACAAAAAAAGACAGGTGATACCCTTCAATATAACGCGCCAGTCCGCCGATCACAGGAGACTGAGCTTTGTGTCATCACCTGTTGTGGAACACGTCGCAATGGAGAAACGCATACTAAACTGTATATAACTGCCAAGTAATCATCAACATTAAATTTACTAAAGTAACGTGACAAAATAACTCCAGGACGAGATCTGACCTGAACGGTTGATGAAGACACAGAGTTCGTCTCCCAAATCTCCTCAGAGTAGCATACACACTCGTTTTGTTGTGTGTATGTCCCGGGCCAAACCCAGGCCAAACCGTGACTGTATTAATTGTCTGAAGCTAACTGTTTGAATATTGATATAATGGTTGTTCAGTCTTTTTCCTGCGTGGGCAGGTACTGGCATTTTTGTAATTCTGATTGTACCTTCCAGATGATGATACCAACATAGTGATAGGAAACTTATCGACACTTTTAAAATTGTGTTTTTGTGCTTATATAACTTAATTTGCCCGTCAACATGACAATTACGTGTCAGAGGAGTATGGAGTTGTTTTTTTTTCAGGGATCAAAAACACTGTTCTCGTCAACATAACAATGTTAATTGTCAAGAAAATCAAGATAGTTTTAATCTGTTCACTGGGCCTCCGAATTGTGTTCGATCTGACGTAATTCGAACCAAACGACGTTACATCGGAGGTCACCAGCAGTCATTTACAGTAAAACCAGGTTTTCAGGCCCTTTTTACACGAGAAAAAAATCACAATATCACAAATACAAACCGTTTCCTGGAGAGTACGTGTACGCTTATCATTTTGTTGCAGACATGAAACATGTAGCGAAGCTACCGTCGTATTCGTGGGTGACCTTGAATATTATTATGATGATTTACTATAGTATAAATATCACACTCCCCACTTTTGGCAAAATGACATGTCTGCAAAACTCGTTTAAACGTGGAAGTATACCTCATTGACAGCTAAAAATGACTGTAACAGTTTTCTGCAAAGTTCCTAAAACAATACTGTTTGAATAATGGGTAATTTAGTGCGAAAAAAGCAGAAAAAAACATTTTTTACCTATTTGTCGACAAAAATATACTTAAAGTCAGAAAGTTAAAAAAAAATCTAAAACACGATTTTTTTAATCTTATTCCTACTAGTTGTCGAAAAATATTAAAAATCAAGGATCTTACGTAAAATATGTAGCCACATTTAACGATGGTTGGCTAAAATATGGCGCTCCAAAATACCGAAAATTAACGAATTTACGATTAAAATAAAAAAAACACCCATGTTACAATCAAATCCCAATTGAGTGTATTTAAAGACAAAAATTTTATTTCATTTCAACAAAAGGTTCCCTTCCAAAGTATTTTGTTTATTTTCAAATTTTATTGTTAGCCCAAAATTGCGTGTTGTAACTCGTTAATTTTTTTCGAATTCCCCTAGCTTTGGAAAAGAATACCGTAGTAACAGAGCACCAGACCTTGTCAGTCAGAAAATGCCACAATCTTCTACCCCAACTAGTGCCAGAATTCCTCTGACACCGGCTGCTGTAGTTTTTTCCAGGGTGTGTCTTTCGGCAGCTGATTCGTGATGTCTTGTGACGAACAACCCAAGGTTACTCTTGTATACATAAATATGATGCTGTTAATTGTCTGAAGCTGGCTATTGAGATAGAGTTAACATCTGTTATTTTGACATCATGATATCAGTATAATCAGATACAGGTTTGTTTTCGTCATACCAAATATCAATAAATATGTTTTTTGCCGATATTTCAATAACTCTGTTTTCACTTTCATGACGGTTTCTATTAAACGATTCCAATGCCTG